GAATTTTTTTTCCACTTATTTCAATTTCATAGACCTTTTTAATCTTCATTTACAATTGCTCTTCAAGCGGCAAACTTTTAATGCTTTAACTTTTATTTACCTTGGCCCTACTCTGTCTGCCATAATGATCTATGAAGATATACTTGAATTACTAATACAGTTCCTTTTAAAATCTAACCTGCCCCTGAATCCATTTCTTTCTTAATGCCCCTAACAATGTTGTCTCATAACCACTCCTGAAATATTTAATCCAACAAGTATTTATTAAGTGCCTCCTTTGTGCCTAGTTAGGCAGAAGTTTGCGACAAAGATAGAGACATATAGAAATAAATGATAGTCCCTGCCCTCAAGGGGCTTACAATATAGTTGAGAAGACAAGATATTAAAAAAATATTATTTTAAGAAATATATTTTATTTATTTTTAGTTTTCAACATTCACTTTTACAGGATTTTGAGTTCTAAATTTCCCCCTACCTTCACTCTTCCCTCCTCAAGACAGCATGAGATCTAATATAGGATACACATGTGTGATCATATTAAACCTATTTCCACATTAGTCATGTTGTGAAAAAAGAATCAGAACAAAGGGAAAAAACCATGAGAAAGAAAAAAAACATAAAGAACCAAAAAAGAGAAAATAGTATGCTTTGATCTGCATTCAAACTCCATAATTCTTTCTCTGGATGTGGATAGCATTTTCCATCATGAATCTTTTGGATTTGTCTCAGATCATTGAATTGCTCAGAAGAACTAAATCTAACAAAGTCAGTCAGTGTACAATGTTGCTGTTACTGTGTACAGTGTTCCCCTGACTCTGCTCACTTCACTCAGCATCAGTTCACTCAAGTCTTTCCAGGTTTTTCTGAAGTCCTCCCGCTTACCATTTCTTATGGAGCAACAGTATTCTATTACATTCATATACCACAACTTTGTTCAGCCATTCCCCAATTGATGGGCATCCCTTCAATTTCTAATTCTTTGCCACCACAAAAAAGAGCTGCTATAAATATTTTTGTACATGTGGGTACTTTTTTCATTTGTATGATCTCTTTGGGATATAGACCTAGTAGTGGTATTACTGGATCAAATGGTATGCATAGTTTTATAGCCCTTTGGGCTTCATTCCAAATTGTTCTCCAGAATGGTTAGATCAGTTCACAACTCCACCAACAATGCATTAGTTATCTTCTTCAACATTTATCATTTTTCTGTTTTGTCATATTAGCCAATCTGATAGGCATGATGTGGTACCTCAGAGTTGTTTTAATTTGTATTTCTCTAATCAATTAGAACATTTTTTCATATGACTATAGATAGCTTTAATTTCTTCATCTGAAAACTGCCTGTTCATATCCTTTGACCAAAAAATATAACTTTTTTTAAAGAAAATAATTGAAGGTAGTATATTCAAATTCTAAATTAAATAAATTCTCTAGGTGTTAAGAAGGATTGAATTCAATTCAATATGCTTTTATTTAAACATCTATCATGTGTCAGTCACTCTACTAGGCCTTGGGGCTACAAAGATTATTTGTCTTTAAGGCTATCCACACCCATCTTGTGGTACAGAGGAAAAAGCACTGGATTTGGAATCAAAGGGTCTTGATTGAAAGCACTGACCTACTACTTACTACATATGTGACCCTGGGAAAGTGACAACTTCTGTGGGTCCCAGTTTCCTCATCTGTAAAATTAAGGGTTGGACGAGATGCTTGTCGTATTTCCTTATGATTCTTACCCCACTGATCCAAGGTTAAAAAATGCGTAAATCCAACAACATATTTAGTTACAAAAATATTTATGAAGTGTTATACAAAGCACCGTGCTGGACAATGGGATTCAAGACAGATACCCCAAAAAATCCTTATCTCAAAGGGCTTACAATCCAAATAGGATAAAGTCATATAAATAAATGTGATATAAGGCAGAGTAATATAAGTACAAAAAGAGTGATACAAGGTATATGTTCTGAAAATTTTAAGAAAGGCTATTAATGGAAGAGGGAAGAGCAGAAAAGGCAATGGAGTAAAGACCAGTTTGACTAAGGTATAGGATATATAAAAGGGAATGTAAAATAAAACTGTAAATGTAAATTGGAAGCAAATTGTAGAAAACTTTAAATGCCAGGATCTACAGATTATACTTTCTCCAATTAATCCTATTGCCTAACAATGAGAAACCAATTAAAGTTTTTGCTTAGTGGAGTGATATGATCAGAAAAATATGTTAATGAGATTACTTAAATGTCAGTGTGGAGGATGGATTGGAGATAGGGAGATAGTATGGAGTGAGAAAGAATACTTAGTAGGCTATTACAGTAAACTCCATAAGAAGAGATAAGAGCCTAATATGGTTGCAATGGGAGTGTAGAGAAGAGCATAGATGCAAAAAATATTGAAGAGGTTTAATCAGTAGAATTTGGGAACTGATTAAATACATGTATGGATCTTATAAGTTCCAAGGCAGCATAGTGCTTACCTCTAAATATTTGTTGGACTGACTTAATGACTTATCTCACTCTAAATCACTTTTATGAGTCATATCCCCAGAGCCTGGCTATATCTCCCACCTGGGGTTCTAGGCACACTCTCTGAAGGGAAAGGGGCTGACTCTGTAATGACACTGACTTCAGCCCCTTCTGGTGTCTTCCCTCCAATATTATCCACTGAGAATCATTTTAACTAACATTTGCTTTTAGGGAGAGGTATTTACCAAGGTTGTATAGTTATAACAGTTAATATAAAATGTTCCCCCAAAAATGAGTGACGTATTCTTCCACAAATATTCTCAGAATCCAGGGGAAAGTGGGCTTAAGTTTAGAGTGCACAATAGGGTAACTCATAGCTCCTGGTTGCTGTAAATTCTGCTCTCTCATTTGTGGGTTGTTTAAGAAGTTCCCCTCAAACATGGTGAATCTATGTCCATCTGTCCTTGGTTCCTAATGTCGACACTGCCCCTAGTTGATCTGGAATTCTACTAGGCTACCAGTGAAAAAATAGGAAGTCCTAAATCTTTCAGACCTTTCAAGGCTTGCAAGGTACATCCTAGGCCAAAGTGGGTGGAATGGGGAGACCACATGCTCCAGTTTCTGAAAATCTACCCCAATCTACTAGATTGATAATTCATATATGATCCCTGGGATGTGGCCAACTTTTCTTAGTCTATCTGAACGTGTTTTCTTGCACAACTTCATTTTCATTTGAAGGTCTTTTTTTGTTTGTTTTTAGCATGTAGTTTAAAGCCTCTGTCACTGATGTTTTCTCCTTTTTAAGGTATGAAGGCTAAAATGTGAAGAGTGGTTTTGACCCCACTCTTCTACATATACTGAAGTATAGTGAAGAGTCAAAAATGGTTCTGAGAATATGAGTCTGGGTGACTGGGAACTTGAGTGTTCTTGAAAGAAATGGAGATGTTGGTTGGAGAAATGGTGGGGGATGAGCAGTGAGGAAGTAATGAGTTCAGTTTTGGAAATGTTGCTTTTGAAGTTCTGGCAGGACATTCATTCCTGATAGTTGTAATTATTTCATAGTCAACATAGTATACTGGATAAAGCATCAGAGAGAAGACCTAGGTTTGAGGAGGCTGCAGGAAGAAAAATGCAGTGGACAGAGCACTTATTTGAGAGTCACAGGCTTTGGGTTTAAATCCCATATCTGATATGTGACCTTAGGCAAATCACTTAACCTTCCAGGGCCTCAGTTTCCTTATCTTAAAAATGAAGAAGTTACAGTAAATGGAAAGGCTCATTTCTGTGTTACATGTATGAGTCTGTGAATCTCAGATCATATACTGTTTCGTTCCGTGACAATGGACAAGTCACTTAACTTTTGTAAGACCACTTTCTTGTCATTTGATGTCATTTCCTTGCTAATAATGTCAATTTGCCTTTCATGTTACCAAACATTGCTTGTGGCTCTGCTGATAGGAATCAAATAGTAACAGCAAAATAACAGCTTTTACTAGGATTTTCTATCCCTTCTTAATACTTGTATGTATATAATAGATGGAAAATAGACCCAACTTCAGCTAGCAAAAGAATTGCAGCCTTTTTTAGATAGGATTACATAAAAAGTTTGAGAATCCTTACAAATCCAACTAAACATCTCCCAGCGTGCTACCACTAGGAAAACAGATTGCTATTCCATTCTAAATCCATGTTGATTTACAGAACCTATTCATCCTTCTGAGGCAAGACAGAGCTTCACTCTATACACACAGAGTAAGCCACTTTCACACACACACACACACACACACACACACACACACACACACACACACACACACACACACCCTGAGCTTTCATAAATACACAGAAACACCTGCCTCTGTTTACATAGGTGGGATCATAGATAAGGAGTTAGAAGCACCTCAGAAGCCATCTAGTCAAACTCTCTCATTTTGTAGTTAAAGGAACTGAGGCCCAGAAAGGTTAAGTGACTTGCCCCAGGTCACACCACAACTGTCAAAGATATTTTTTGAAACCAGGTTCTCTGATTTCTAATCCAGTGATCTTTGCTATATGCAGTCCGGCAGGGGTGACAGTCAGTCAGTCAATCAACAAGCCTCGATGTTTACAGTATGCTAAGCACTGGGGATGCAAAGAAAGGGGGAGGGGGAGACCAGTTCTCTGCTCTTAAAGAGCTCACAGTCTAATGAGGGAGACAACATACAAACGGGTACAAGTCAGCCGCAGTGTAAATAAGAAGTCATCTCAGAAGAAAGGCGCAGCTACACATACACGCCCAAACATCGATGGTGTATACTAGCACGTATACCTGAGCTGCTCTTTTGGTGCCTTCTCCATAATTCATTCCCAGTTTCTGGGATGCGCCTCAGGGTCCCCAATGTGCGCTTCCCATCCCGCCTCTTTCGGGGCTTTTCACCATCTGTTTTCCTCCGGAGGAGCAAACCAAAGAGTCAGAGCTGGCTTCCCAAACTCTCCTCCCTCGCCCTTCCCACTCCTCAGCCCAGCACAGGTAGCCTGTACCGCCGGACTGCCGGGGCGGGGCTCAGGACCCGATGGTCAGGAAGTGCCCGAGAGTGTGTGTTACTCCTTGCCCTGACACTTTGTTGATTTCTAGGAGCTTTGACTGCACTGCCTGGCAGGAAGAGGACATATCTTAGTCACCTGTCCTTCAGGTGTGGCCCTAGGGGGCTGCCGGGTCTCCCCGCCTCCTTCGGTGCCGTGGGGTCCTCAAAGAAGCCACCATGAGCAAGTTGGGCAAGTTTTTCAAAGGGGGAAACTCCTCCAAGGGCAAGGCCGCTCCCAGCCCCCAGGAGGCCTTGGCCCGGCTCCGGGAGACGGAGGAGATGCTGGGCAAGAAACAAGAGTACTTGGAAAGCAGGATCCAGAGGGAGCTCGCTCTGGCCAAGAAGCACGGGACGCACAATAAAAGAGGTAGGGCTCGGGTCGGGTCCCTCCGTGGCAGCTATCTGGCCTCATTTCTGACCAGCTCTTTACTTCTGGACTTCAAAGTCCCCAGAGTCAGCGGCCAGAGCTCAGGACCCAGGGTCAGAGCAAGCCACAACTTCATTTAAACCCTCTCTCTAGGAGTACCCTAATAGTAAAAACAATTTTCTGCCAAGGAGCTGAGTGTATGTATAATATATACAATTGTGTACATGCTTGTATATGTGTTGCACCATAGATAGAATTGTATACAAACATGCAACCTATGTTGCATATATTTTAGTGAGACCTTGTATGTGCCCCTTCCATCCACCTTTCATTTTTGAACACTTCAGCCAACTTTTCTGTAGTTAAGATCTTATCAAGAAGCAGTGGATTTCAAATGCCTATGCCTGCTTGACCTTTATAATTTATAGGGAATTCTGAATCAATAATGTCCTAGTATGCCTATCACATTCGGAGTTCTTTGTGTTTTGCAAACCTCCATTGGACTGTTTTATTTCTTGCCTGGTATCCCAAGTACCTAGCAAGTCCCTGGCACAGAGCAGGGGCTTAATAAATGCTTTGTGATAAAGGCAAATATAGAACATTAGTATACACTAGGGACAAGTAAAAAAGACTCACAGAGAGGTGCAAGTGATTTTTCCTTTTGCCTTTTTTCTGCAAGTGGTAATGTTCATGATTGCATCTACACAAAGATGTTTTCTGTTCTGATTGAACATTTTTGAAAATGCAGAATTTTATGTGACTGTTTGACTCATAATTATACTATGACTTTTACAAAAAATGTATTTTCTTTTTTTAATATAATTTTGTATCCAACACTGTAGCAAAGCACATACACTAAACTATTTATAAAGGGCAGGAGCAGTAGCTTTTATGATTCTTTATGTAAATACTGGTTTTTAAAACTTCTTTAATTTTTTATGCTTCTTAAGATGTGGCAAACTAGCATATAAAAATAAATTATTTGACCCATATACTAACATAACTTTATATATAGCTAGAACTTTATATACAGCTAGAACTACTAGATTCCTGTTCTTTGGCATTGGCAGAGCTGGAAACAGAGATGGTGATATATAATTCTTTTTTTTTTTTACCATCAAACTATTAATGTTTGCATCCCCATGCTTATATCCCTTAGTCATATACAAGTGTTATTATTGTTGGAGGTGGTGGGGGGAGGTCGAAACAAGTTTTTCCCCACAGAACCAGACCTGGAAACACTGTACCTTCTCATTGGAATTTGTTAATCACACAAAAAGTTTCTGTGTAACTATTACCCAGTACTGTACAGCAATAAGGACTGGAATATGCCCTAAGGTCAAACTTCATTTTTTCTATGATATGCTATTTTCACTCTCCCATACTGTCACAATATTATGGTACATATTTGGCACTTGTAATGTTGACTTCTATTTTATTTTTGTGTATGAAAATATTTACTGAAAGACATTAAGGCAGAAAATTCAAAAGGAAAAGTTCCGTCTTAGCTTACTGGGGAAAAAAACACAATACATCAGTATTAACTGATGATGACTATCTCAAGGATTATTGCTTTACTCTGCATTCTCTTGGTGCTTACATGTGGTTTGTATGTGTTACTATCTTAATATTAATAATTAATAGCTGTATTAATATGTTGTTCAGTCATGTCTTATTTTTTGTCACCCCATTTGGTGTTTTCTTGGCAAAGATACTGGAGTGGTTTGCCATTTCCTTCTCAGGTTCATTTCACAGATGAGGAAACTGAGGCAAACAGGGTTGAGTGACTTGCCCAGGGTCACATAGCTAGAAAGTGTCTGAAGGCCAGATTTGAACTCATGAAGATGAATCTTCCTGACTCCAGGTCTGGCACTGTGCCACCTAGCTGCCCTGTATTAATACAAATATTGCTTTCATGTGTTCCTAAAATCCCCATCTCCCCTATCCTATATTATACACACATTTGTCTGTCTCTTTACAGGTCTCTGACCACCTAAATTATTAAAAAGCAATCTCTTGGATTTTAAGGTCTTCAAAAGCAAAGACTATGGCTTTTGAGACCCTTTCTAGTGCTTACTGCATAATGGGTGCTCTTCTCTTTTTCAAATACCCCAAATTCTGTCAAATAGTCTTCATATGACATAAATTCCAGAATTATCACCATCCTGTCCATTTTTCCCGGACATTTTCTCTCTTAAAGTATTACTCTTAGAAGTAGGCAGAATATTCACATGTGATATGACAAATGTGAAGTATGGTGAGATACTTATATGTATTTATATACATATATGTATATATTCATATTCCTAAAATTATTATTCTTTATTTGATACTTACCCAAATTTTCTTTTGCTTCTTCAAGTAAGTTGTAGGCTTACTCTTTAAAGACAAAATTTAGAGAAAACTCGTCCTAGTCTTCTCCAGTTGTCATAGGATCATAGCTCTAGAGCTGAAAAAGACCTCAGAGGCCATCTAGTTCATCCCTCATTTTATGGAGGAGAAAACAGGGTCTGGGGGATTAAGTGATTTGAGTAAGGTCACACAGAAAATAAGCATCAGAAGTAGAATTTGAATCCATGTCCTCTAACCCAGCACTCTTTTCATTGTACCACCCTGCCTCCAGTGCCCCATATCCATGCTAACAATACATCTGCAAAGGATCTTCACAGCAACATCCTCAAATCAAAGAACATTTAACTGCATGTGTTACTATGAATAGCAAGGGATTGACTTTGCAAGACAGTCTACTAGAATGAGATGATAAGGGAAGAAATGGATCACTGGGAATAGCTAAAATGCATCCTTTATTATAGAAGCTGAAACCCAAGGATACACTTGAATTCAGTATCTGTTGGAATAAAGAAAGATCTGGCTTGGAGTGAGCTTATTGCCAGGCCAAAACATGAAAATGACTGTTGATCATGACTAATTTATATGTCAGCAATAAATACTCACATATAAAGCAACAGTTGTGATCATCAGCCTCATTACTCTGGCACAGAGTAGGGGCTTAATAAATGCTTTGTGATAAAGGTGAATATAGAACATTAGTATACACTGGGGATAAGTAAAAAAGACTCTGAGAATATGTGTGATTTTCATTTAATCAACTAGCTGGCCTGTGCTATACTGTTGCATTCAAAAGATTGCCATTTTTGAAAAAGGTAAGTTGGAATAAGATTTATTAATCTTTTCAAGAATATCAGGTGGTTGCTTCCTGAGATGATACTGAAAAAAAGGGTTATTTTCATGTAGTGCCTTTCATCTAGGACAGCTATTTTGTGGCAGTGGCAAGCTTCTGGTATTAAATAATCTTCTACTTCTTCTGGGTATTGTCATTTGAAATGTCAATGGCAGCAGCATGTGCTCTGTTATCTTTTGTACAGTGCGTATGAACATGCTACCTTATAAGGCATATCTTTGAGTACTTAGAAATAGACTTGGGAAGGTAGACTCTTCAAAGTCACACAGCAATGTCTGACTTCCGAAAACAGCAATCCGCTTGACCACACAATGCCTTCCTCTAGTAACAGGGAGCATTCCATTATTGGACATCTCTGTCAGGCAGTTCTTTATGATGAATAGCTAAAATTTACCTCTCTCTAGTATCTACCCATGAGTGAATCTAGTTTTGCTTTCTGGAACTGAGCAGACTAACTCCTCTAGACGTAATAGCTTTTCAAGTATTTAGTATTCCTAGAATCATAGAGCTGGAGCTGGAGGGAATTTCAGAGGCTGACTAACCACCTCATTTCATAGATGAGCAAACTGAAACCCAGTGATGTTAAATGACTTGCCCATGGGCACACAGGTTGTAATTCAGTCAGTCAAAAGGCATTTATTAAGGGCTTACTATGTGCCAGGCACTCTGGTAAGTACTGGGAAGATAAAGAAAGGTAAAAAAGGCAAGTTGAGAGGGGGGATCTGTACCCAGTTCCCCTAATTTCAGAGAGACAGCTGTTTGTGTCAATAATAATATTAATAGTAATAATAATATTTGAAAGCAGGCAGCTGGGTGATGCAGTGTATAGAGCATGGAACCTGTAGTCAGTAAGACCTGAGTTCTAAACTGGACACTTACTAACTATATGACCCTGAGCAAGTTACTTAACCTTTGTTTACCTCAATTTCCTCATCTGTAAAGTGGGGATAATAATAGCGCCCATGTCTTAGGATTGTTGTGAAGATCAAATGAGATAATAATTGTAAAACACTTAGCACAGTGCCTACACATAAGTGCTATGTAAATGTTAGCTATTATTATTATTATTATTACTATTATTATTATAGTAACTGTATAGTGCTTTCCTTATCACACTTGTAAAGTAGGTACTATAAGTATGATATTCCCCATTTTAAAGATTAATTTGAACTCAGTTATCTCTTGAGTCAAAGTCTGGTATGCCTTCCACCACATGGTGAGTAGTTCCTCATGATCTGCCTAAATCTCTTTTCCAAATACCCCTCCTCCTGAAAAAAGTTTTTTCAACTGGTCTCTATAGGACATAAGCCCCATAACTTTCTCTATCCTAGCCATTTTTTGTGTTGTCATTCTCCTTCTTAAAGCATGAATCCCAGAACTGGCCAGAATATTCTGCAGGTGGTCTGAAAAGTACAAAGTACAATGGATTGTTTCTCCTGATATGGACATGATATTTATATTTATGTATCCTCAAATTAATTTTTTTGGCTACTATGTAATAATAATTCCTCTATGAAAATCCCACTATAATGCATCATCAGGCATTAAGATGACCCTGGCTTCTTCAAAGTTGTGCCAGAAGAGCACATGCTCTCACAAATTCTTCCAAAGCTGTAAGGTTTTGAATCCAAGTCTAGTGATATATGAGTCTAGATAAGCACAGAGAGGTTTATCACCAAAAGCTGGTAGGTAGACAGAAGCTGATGATTTTTTAGCACAACAACCCAAAAAATTGACAGAAAAGCATAAAATTGTCTTCAATCCTATGCAACTTTATTTCGTTTCCATAGTGAAGCTG